TGTCTTCTCAGATCAGAAAGAGTGAGTTACAAAACAGCAGTGTGCACAGACATATATCAGGCAGTTGGGGAAAATAAAGACTCAGAAAGATCGGTCTTTGTATTTTCCCAGTGTAAGCAAACCAATGGGGCACACAAATATTAAACTTTCGATTATTGCTTATATTTGTCAGTCAAAAAAGATGTACATGTAATGTACCCAGTGGGATTCAAAGACTCACAGAGAGCCTAATAAAAGTTCTTGTAGCTTTAAAAGTTATGTTAAACTTTAAACTCAGATGATCTGATAAAGACTTTAAAGAGTCCTTGTAAAGCTTATAAAATATGCAGTAATCGCTTCAGAATCTGTAAAGCCAGCAGGCCTCCTAAATCCTTGAACTGAGACATTTCTGTTAAGAACTTTAACATGCAGCTCCAATCGGAAAGGCAACTATATAAAAACAGCACAGTAAGTATGTGTATTTTTCTTCAGCTGTTTCCATAGTAGATGTGTCCAGTTTACACATTAAAGCAAAATAAGGTAATGGCTGTTGCTGTTTGGCTTACGGTGACCCTACAGCAAACCTACCATGGGGTTTCCTGGCTACATTTGTTCACAGAGGCAAGATTTGCCTTTGCTTTCCTCTGAGGCTCAGAAAGTGTGATTTGCCCAAGGTCAACAGGTTGGTTTCTATGGACAAGCAGGGATTTGAATCCTGGTCTCCAGAGTCATAGTCCAGCACCCAATCCAATATACCACATTGGCTCTCAAGGAAATGGTACACAATGTGAGCAGTCATTCTTGGATGTGTAGAGTCCTTTGGATTATATCACCATGTGCCAGGTCCAGAGGCAGAAGCAATGATACAATTCCCCCACCTGCAATTGAATCCACTGCCTCTCTCTCCTGCCTCTCTCTCAGTTTTTTCAATCCTGCCTTGCCAGTGAGAATTTTTTAGGAAGCAGCATGAAATTATTCTCTGCACCATCAACTAGAGAACAGAGTTTCCCCTCCTATATGGTTTCCTATTAGGTTACAGAAAGGAGTGTGTGCGTGTGTATAAATGAATCTGTTTCTAGATGTTTTCATCCTGAGCTTCTGCCATAGACACCTCACCTTACACTGATATGGCAAACACAGCTTCTCCTCTAAATTTTAACTGACATTCTGACATTCCTTGCTTTGTGGATAGCCAGAATGGTTTCAGTGGGTTGTGGGTTGCTTTGTTCTACAATGAACATACTTGTTGTCCAAAGACAATATTATCAGTTGTATAGGAAAGACTTCTTCTGCCACTTGCTTTTGAGAAAGTACCGTAAGCAGTGCTTTATGTTAGATGAAAGAATAAATGCATCTTGTCATCCACAAGAAGTAGTAGCTGAAAATCCATTAATGAAACTTTGATTTTCCACTTTCCCGTGAACTTTTAGAATTTAGTGAATTACTTTGTTGAAAGGATGCCAAAATGTAGAAGTTCTTCTCCAAGGTGTACCTCAGTGGTCAGAGACAGCCTTCCATAAAGACATTCAACAGTTCATGAACAGACAATACATATTTTGATCCAGTGAATTAGAATCCCTCAGGCAAGATGACAATGGGTTCAAGAATGTTTAATTTTCAAAGACTTTCACACAGTGGGGAGAAAATCACTAAAATTACCCATTGCTTCTTTCAAGAAAGAATTATAGTCCCATGCCATGTGCTGACCGATTGGTCGTAATAAAGAACTTTGATACACTTTGATAGTCCCATGCCCTTTTTGAACAAGCTAAACATTCATCATTTATTTTGATGGATGAGGAAGGTTTTAGAGGTTTCCCAGGTTTTAAATCCATTTGTTTGTTTGTTTGTTTTGTTGTTTGTAGGTCTTTAATGTTCCTATAAATGTTTTGATCATTTTAATCATGTGATGTTTAATACTGTTTTAAGGGGGGGTATTCTGTTTATTGTAAATTGTGTTTTATGCTGTAAACTGCCCGGATTGGGTTACCATTGGGCAGTATATAAATAAATAAATAAATAAATTATTATTATTATTATTATAGAGCACAATAAGATATCTATATTAGAAACTAAATAGATATTTTGCTAATTGATTTCAAGAGAGGAAAATAGTATTAGCAATTTAATATCAGAGTTCTGAAAGATATTCTTCAGTCACAAAATGGCTACAAAGATATCCCCCCGACTAGTTGGGAGGGGTCCTCTGTTGTGTCAGCCATAGAAGGGCCTCAACGCAAGACTGGTGGAGCAGCCCGGAAGTCCCTCCCTTGCCGGACTGCTCCACCAATAGATAACAAGTCTCGCATCTAGTGACGCGAGATTTATAGTCTGGCGTTGTTTCAGGCGAGATTCACGAGGGCTATATAGTCTGATGCTGCCTCGTGGCTGGCAGCCATTTTGATTTTAACAAGCGAGCAGCCCATCCCACCCACCCTTAAAATGTGAATATATTGTTTACTCTCAGGCTTCGGCTGGTCGCCTGCGGGGGCCGGGACGGAATTTTCCCAAATTGATATTTTGGGTTTTTCGCCCTCCCTGACAACAAATAACATTAACAAAAGGGTGTAAAAGTACAATGTGTTAATTTGTGGGCAATAAAGTTATTAATGTGTTTGCTCAATGATTGTTACAGATGTTAAGATAGGTGCATTCGTTAATAAGTTAATCGTCGCAACTTAGGTTATGGGGTCATGAGGTTGTTGTTATGAAATTAAATGTTTTGGCGGGCAGGGACCCCCCCTCAGGGGTAGAACTAGGTTAATTGGAAATTAACAATTGGCTAAATAAATAAAATTTAGATATTTAGATGATGTCATTAGGTTAACACAAATTAGTATGACATGTTGTTAGAAATGAATGATGTCATATTAAGTGGGATTAAGACCAACATGACATCACATCCGTTTGGGGGAGGGATTAATTAGAAGGTAGTAAATTATGTAATCTAATATCTTGACGCATGCAGTATTTGAGGATAATTAAAGAATAGCGATTACACTTATTCGCATGAACGCATGCGTTAAGAATTTATATAATGCTTTATCCAAAACGGTGATCTAATTGTAAAGTTGTAAATTTTAAGACCCTGTACAAATAAAGTTGTTGCCAAATGTTTTACCCAAATAATAGTGTTCGAGTCCTTTGTGCCGATGCAATTATTTAAATGGAAATACTATCAATGTGTGACCTCTCCAACTTAAACTATCTTTACCTGATTCAGAATATTTATAGTCATCTTCTAATGTTTCAGGAGAAAAAAACCTCCTCAGGACTGTGCGAAGACATCTCTGATCCCAAGCATCTGTAACTCGCCCTCCGTATGTAATCTCCCCTGCAAAATTATTTTACAGGTTACGATCTCATAATTCATTTGTGAAATATAACATAATTTTAGTTATACCTTCTCTGGAGTATATATTTTTATATGGTTGAAATGAGAATTAATGTTTAACAAACTGTGATGTTACCATACATCCAGATTGTCTTAATAGAAATTACAAAAATAGTAGATTGCTAAACAAATTATGCATTTGATTGCACTACTAATTTAAACATAATGTAGGGGGATCCCATTCTGGTCATATTACAAATTCCAAAATTTATATTGTGGCAATACCTTTTATGAGGACAACACAAAATACACTAAAAATTGTTCAAACTTAAGGAAATCCATCAGGCCCCTTTTTCAGTAAAAGATGTTACAAAAAGGCAGAGAGGGGGAAACAGGACAGGAGGGAAAACTTTGGCTTGAAGTCATGCAGACTGCACATTGTACTGAGATGTTGTGGGAGGAAGTGGCTGCAGTTTTCCAAATTTTAACATGCAGTTACTACTCAAATTTTGATAGCTTGTGTACTGCTGCATAATTAGTCAGTTTAGTATTTAATAAAGACATAGCATTTACAAACTAGACATGCCAGTTTTGAATCTGCCACTGTGAGCCCTGTAGTAACATGTATTCCTTTCTGTGATTGATTTCTTCCTTGATTGCAGGCACTAAACACATAATTTTGGTTTCTAAGCACTTCCACAAAGCAATGATTACAGCTGTCAAGGAACTCTGAGTAGATTTAAGAAGTGCTTAAAAAACAGACCAAATCAGACCAGATTTTGTATACAGTTTCAAGCCCCAGCAGATCTAGTCAGATAACCAATGGTAAGGAATGCTGGGAGTAGCATTCTAACAGTATTTGCAGGGCCACATGATTCCCACCTCTGTTAGAACCACATAAGTATTTAAATGTATATTGTTCATATAGCAGCTCCAATGTGAACTTCTTTAAAAATAGACAGTTAATCAAAGAAATACGTTATTTTGAAATGGCATGAAAAAGAACACCAAGGCGAACTTTTCCAAACAGTAGTTACAAATGATTGAATGTGTCTTGTTTTATAGATCTTGTTCTCATTCCAAAGTTGCAGTTCCCTTTTGCAGAAGTAGAGAAGTTTTTGTGCTAAACTGGCATGTAAGATTAAGCCAAAATCTTTGTTTTACAAAAACTAAAAATTAATATTTTAAAATGTAGTTGTTCTTTTAACATAGTTCAGTACATAAACTTTAATTTCTAAAGCAATCTAATTTTCATTATTTAGAGTACAATTGTATTGTGGTAGGATCAGAATTTATATTAGGCTAGAAGGAATACTGACTGCTAAGCCATCATTCATCTTCAGATCAAGTGAACTGATTCTAACTGATTCTAACTTGAATTCAGATTACTCACTTGCAAGAATCCAATAAATTTCTGCAAATAATGCACATACAGGATCACATATAGGATATTTTATTCTGTTTTACTATCAACACCCATTATATAATAATTACAAAATTAAAATAAACATTTCCCAAATTGTATAATCTTGTTGTTGTTGTTGTTGTGTGACTTCAAGTAGTTTCCTACTTATGGCAACCCTATCATCGGGTTTTCTTGGCAAGATTTGCTGTCAGAGGACTTATCTTTGCCTTCCTCTGAGGCTGAGAGAAAGTGACTTCTCCAAGAACACACAGTGGGTTTCCATGGCCAAGCAGGGATTCAAACCTTGGCCTACAGATTTGTAGTCCAATGCTCCAACCATTAGTCCACACTGGCTCTTGTATTATGGAATATATATGCATCATTACAGTGCTCTTATGTTATATTTTCTCTACTTCATTACCCCAAGGACACACTGTCTTCTTGCAGTAGCATCACAAAAATTACAATTAGAATAGATTATGCAAGTAGATGTAATCATAATTCCTATAACTTCTTCCTGCTTATTGACCAATTTACTTGTCTTTCCAGGAAATAGTAACCTGAAACTGTTCAACTGAAAAGATGACACTAATGTTTATGGCATTTATTCATAACAAATTTTAGGGTTCTGTTTCAAGTAGATACTCTGTTCGAAATGATATAACAATTTACTACATCTGGCAAGATTCGGCAGCAGATCTATTTTAAGATTTTCCAGGTGGCATATATTCCAAGGTCTTGATGCATCACAGGTCTGATGATATCACTGACACTGCAATGCACTGGAAGATTTCTAAACACTGATGACCATAATGACCCGAGGAGAACCTAAATTTGCTAAGAGCTCAATTCACTTGGAAGCCCTCTGATATATTGCAGGATCAGCTATGCCATCAATCTCTGAGTATTAAAGATACTGGCCACGATGCAGAAAGGATTGCAATGTATCAACAAGTTGCTAATGCAACTGAGCTTGTGACACATCAGAGACAATCATGCATGTGCTGTGAGGTGGAGCACAGAGATGTCCCAGGGATAGTTTCATCCAACCTTCCATCACTACTTGAAGATGTTTGTTTTTAAGTATGTCAATGGCAGATTCTTTGGTTCCCCCCTCCCCACAGCTTCTCATCAGTGGCAAGTGATGAATCAATGGCATATAGATTTGTTACCACCATTTGACTGTTTGATTTTTAAAACTGTTCTATTGTTTAATGATGCAAGGCACAATGAATGGTGTGTGTGTGTGTGTGTGTGTGTGCATATAAAGTCAGAGTAGAACACTCTAAATCAGGGGTAGGCAACCTTTCCCCTTTAAGGGCCGAGGGATTTCAGCTCCCAGAAGCCTCAGCCATGTTGGCCAATAGTCCCATGTTGGGCAATAGCTCCTGGGATTCTGGGAGCTGAAGTCCCTCGGCCCTTAAAGGGGAAAGGTTGCCTACCCCTGCTCTAAATAAATGAATAAAGGCTGAATCAGGCCCTGCTGTGTATGGGCACTTCCAAGAAGTTTTGAAATGCAGAATATATTATGTAATCCCGGCATGACTATACAGTGTTCTGAATTAGAATTCCTTTATTCTGGCCTTTGCAGAATCTTTTCAAACTGGGATTCACTGAAACTCTCAGTCCCTGAAAAATTAGACTGTCTTCCTGCTGAACAACTGTGCAGAAGCAAGGCAAGACGGGCCCTTTGTGGCATCCTCAAGGCAGGGATGGGGAGGAGCAGCTGCATGCCAGCCATCACAATCCCTCCCTGAGGACGTCATGATGCCATGCACCGTTATGCATGGTGCGCAGTGTCAGAACATCCTCCCAGCGCAGCGTTGATGCACTGTGCCGGAAGGGGTGCAGAAGAGCTGTGCGGCAGCTCTTGGGGTGTCCTTTTTGCTGGCTCTGAAAGGAACAGCATTTTGCCGCTCTTTTCCGGGCCGGCAAAAGGGAGGCTCGAGGCCGCGCTGTCTGACAGCCTCGGCCTTAATCCTTCGTTTCCCAGGGTGGCCCAGGGCCGCCCGTCTGCATCCTGCCATAGTTAGCTTTGTTCATAAACTCTTTCTGTCCTGAGAGCTACTGTGAAATAAGCTGAATGGGTTTTGATAAATGCAGGGTTTGTTTAAACAAAATGTCTGACTTGTTTATTTATTTATGAAATCCCAGAGAT